GGCTGTGACGCAGCCACCGCTGGCCTCCCTCTTGAGCGCGGCGTCCACACGGTCCAGGAAGCAGCGCGCCTCCACGAGGTGCTGACGCCGCAGTTCCAGCAGCAGTGGCGCGCGGGACGCGACCAGATCGGCCGCCAGCCCGCCACTGGCGCCGGCCCTGAAGCCGAGCAGCTTGTCCAGGTCGATCAGGCCAGGCGAGCCTGCGGCCGCCGCGGGCGCGGCCAGCCTCGTCGTCGGGGAGGACCTCGGCAGCTCCTCCAGCAGCTGCCGGAGAAGCTTCACGTGCTCTCGCGACTTGTTAGGGAAGAAGCTCCTGGCCAGCTCGATGATGCTGGAGAGCCTCAGCGCCCGCTCGCCCTCGGCCTGCGGCTCTCGCGTCGGCGGCCGCTCGGCCAGGAGGCGCAGCATCTGCACGAAGGCCACGAGCATGGCGGTCTGGTCGTGGTACATGCCCTCGTCCATTTGCCCAAGCATGCTGCGGTAGAGCACCTCCGACTCAGCGCTGAACGCGTCGGCGGCGGGCACACTCACCCAGCTCGCGATCTGCACCCGGAGTACCGCCTTCGCCGAGGAATCTGCCAGCGCGAGCTTCAGCGGGGCGCCCCGGTCGGCAGCGCTCTCCACCTCGTCGCCCGCCACGGTCGCCGTGCCCAGGCTCATGCCCCGTCGCTTGGCGTCGGCGTCCAGGATGGTGAACGACAGGGCGTCGCCCTGGCAATAGTCGGCGAGCTCGAACGTGCGGTTCCAGGCCGGATCTGCAGTCTCCGCCAGCGGCTCCGTCTGGACCGCGGAGCCCGGCCTGCCGATCACCTGGCCTAGGCAGTATGGACTCGGCCGGCTGCTCGACCCAGCATCTAGTCCTTCTGCACCCAGGATCGTCACCTTCAGCCCCAGCGTTCTGCTGCTCGTGGAGTGCGCCTCGTAGGCCGCCTCGGTGGACTCACCCGTGGCGACGCTGGTGTGCCCGCGCAGTGACAGGAAGAAGTTGTAGCGTGTGGACATCAGCTCGACGTCGCTCGTGCCGTCGGCGGCCCAAAGGCTGGCTTTGCCGAGGAAGTCGTGGAGGGGCACCTGCGACAGGTTGGCGTGCACGTTGTCGGTGATAGAGGAAGATAAAAACGGCACGAACAGAATCGTTCGACGGTCGACGCGGATTTCTTGGATCTGTGCTGGACCCCCCTCCGTGGCGCGCGGAGCGCGCCAAGCGCGGCGCTGGTGCCGCCATGGGGGTCAAGCGCAGATCCAAGAAATCCGCGCGGACCGTCGAACATCTATATTTATGCAGTTGTCTTTTCCTCGAGATGAGCTCCTCCGTCCTCCTGGCCCAGAGCCGAGTGCAGACGCCGAAGACCTCCTGCTGCGTAAGTGGCCTCAGCGGGAGCAGCCCTTCGTGCCTCGGGAGTGGGGGCGCGATGGGGAGGTCGGGCGAGGTGGGGCTGGCAGACGACATCGGCAATGCAAGCGCTGCGTCGCAGGGCGTTGGCCCCCCAATGTGCACGAGTGTGCACTTATGTACGCGCGTGTGACGGAGGGGCACAGGGACGGAGGAGGTGGGAGAGGAAGACTGCCAACCATACCAAACAATGACAGACACTTTCCTCGCCCTGACACGAAGGCAAAACGTGACTCACGGCTTGCTCCTCGCGTCTGCTGTCTTATTCGATCCGCGAGCTCACGATCTCTATGCATATCTCCCAGCCTGCTTCGCTGCAAATCTGCCGACCCTTGCCGGCGTGTGTGAGGGGATGACGGCCTCCTGTCCAGCTCCGGTGTGAACTTTTAAGCTCTCCCCTCCTCTCCCTTGTGGCTGCCTTGAGGACGTCTCCACGCGCGTCAGCCCACAGGAAATCCGCCACTGTGGGGACGTCTCCATGCATGTCGACCCGACGGTAATCGAGCCACGTCGTGACCGAGTCGAAGGGAGGCCCTACCCGCCGGGGTGTGGGGGGGTGGCCCGAGGAGCGTGTGCCCCTCCCCCCCCGCGGTGTAGGGATATGCAGAGGGACCTTGGAGGACGAATGTATTGCAACATCGTGGATGCGTTTGGGATTTACACTTGTCCTCTTCCTCCTCTTCCTCCTCCTTCTCCTCTTCCTCCTCTTCCTCCTCCTCCTCCTCCTCCTCCTCCTCCTCCTCCTCCTCCTCCTCCTCCTCCTCCTCCTCTTCCCGTTTCCGAATGATTTCAACGATCTTGGGGCTCTCTGGCGTGCTGGACGGCGCCAGATGGCCCGACGGCCCCTAAGATGGCTTCAAGTGGTCCGTAGCCACGGTGCCTCGCAGGGACCTCCAGCTGGGCCCCAAACAGGCACTCGAGAAGTCTCCAAGAGGCCCACCGGGACCCCCAGGACGCCCCGAGGGGACCCCAGCAGGTTTCACAGCTGCCTCCAGAAAACTCCCGAGAGGCATCCACCCCAAGACGCCTCTAAGAGTTCTCGTGCCCACCACCCAGGCGCGGTGTTCGGTCTCGTCTCCAATCTCGAGGTGCTCTTCAATCCGTTCTGGGAAAATCGTCGGCCTAACTTCGTGCGCTCCTCGGCTCCCTCGTGGCCTTTCTGGGGCCTCCAAATCCCCTTTGATGGTCGGCGGAACTTGCCTTAATGCGTCTCCAATGATGACTGACGCTTTTCGGTTGAAGTTCACAGATGCCTGCCGTTCGGGTCGGATGCACCATCATCACGCACCAATGGCGGATGCACCAACATCACGCACCAATGGCGTTGTTCGTGTGTATTTGAGCGGATGCCAAGTGGATGTCAAAACCACAATTGGTTCGTCATCCAACTGACGATTGTTCGAATAACGACATATCAGCAGCGATGTGACGATCATGGGCTCACGTGGTGTGCCTGCCGCACCAGTTGCGAAGCGTCGAGTCCCGATTAGACCAAGAAGTGGCATTGGTGGCAAAATGTGTGATCCAATGTTGCAAGCTAGCCGAACCCATCCAACCCGACCCCACCCCTCTCCCTAGTGCCTCAGGCAAGGCGGCACCCCGAGTCCGCGCCCCAGCGCCGCCAATGTCCGGACACCGTCTGGCGGCGGGCGCACCAGGCACCCGGAGGGCGGCTGGGCGGCGCCCCTGCCAAAGTCCATGAACTCGCGGCGCAGTCGCCTGTAGAGTTCCAACAACGTGCGGTGCTCCTGGGGGGGCAAGAATGTACTGATACCGCTCCTCTCCGGACCTCCGCCTGGGTGCGTTCTGACCAAGCTTTCGGGGCGAATCCAACCGTGGCGGCGAGGCCCCCCCCAGGCGAAAAGCAAATCAGGGTAGCGGCATCGCTACTTTTTCCCCCCCTGAGCTCCGCCACCAGGCTGGCGACCTCGGACTGCACCTCGCGCACCAGCGGCTCGTCGCCGTGGACGCCACGGAAAAGCTGCGGGTCGGGCGGCCGTGGCAACTCCCGTGCCACGGCGAGCGCCGCGAAGGCCTCGCCGGACACCAGCAGCGGCGGGGAGCGGGTGCTGGCCCCGGTGACGACCGCGGCCAGGCCTCTCGCGTCTTCTGCGGAGCGTCGCACCACCACCTGCCGACCGCACGCAACCCAGATCCACTCGCGTCATGAGCACATCGCGAATAAATTTTGGTTTGCGGCAATTTTCGCCCTCCGGTGGCCCTTGCCAGGCCTCGGGAAGTTATCCCCTACCCCCTCCCCCTGGGCCTGGAGAGGTCCCTCCGCGGGTCGTTGGAGGGGTCATTTTCGACTCCTGGGAGGGCTAAAAAACGACACCCCTCACGAGGATTCTGGCCCCGACGGGGGGGGGAGAAAAAATGCTCCCCTCTTCTTTGAAGCCAGAATCATTGATTTTACTACGGTTTTGGCCCCATTTTGGCCTTCTGAGGGGGCAGCGCTAATTAAAGCTCCCCTCTTCTTTCAAGCCCAAATCATTGATTTTACGAAGGTTTTGGCCCCATTTTGCCCTTCTGAGGGGGCAGCGCTAATTAAAGCTCCCCTGTTCTTTGATCGATTTCCTCCAAGATGGCCCCAAGAAGCGCCCAGGAGGCACCAAGAGGCCCCAAAATGGCCCCAAGAGGCCCCCAGGAGGCCCCCAAGAGGCCTCCAAGAGGCCCCCAAGATGCCCCCAAGAGGCCCCCAAGAGGCCCCAAGAGGCTCCCCCGAGGCACCCAAGACGCTCCTCCTGGAAGCCCCTGGGGCCGCCAAGAGGCCCCCAAGACGCCCCAAACGGCCTCCAAGAGGCTCCCAAGACGCCCGAAGAGGCTCCCCCAAGGCACCCAAGACGCTCCTAAAAGCCCCTGGGGCCGCCAAGAGGCCCCCAAGACGCCCCAAAAGGGGACGAGGTGCCCGAACGCCTCACGCCACGAGGAGCCCGAACGACTCACACCAGGACGAGGGGCCCGAACGACTCACACCACGAGAGCCCGAACGACTCACACCAGGAGGAGGGGCCCGAACGACTCACACCAGGACGAGGGGCCCGAACAACTCACACCACGAGAAGCCCGAACGACTCACACCAGGACGAAGAGCCCGAACGACTCACACCACGAAGAGCCCGAACGACTCACACCAGGAAGAAGGGCCCGAACGACTCACACCAGGACGAGAAACCCCAAACGACTCAAACCACGAGGAGCGCTTTCTCTCCCTCCTCCTCCGCCTCGTCCTTCTCCCGCTCCCACCACAAGGAGGATGTGCAAGGAGGCGGGAGGAAGGAGGAACAGGGGAGATGTGCGGGGGCAGGCGGAAACACGCATGAAAAACACGACTGTCGGCATGCTTCGCAAGAGTTGCTGTTTTGAGATGGGCTGGTGGGGATACGCGAAGCGTGAAGAATTTTGGTTTGCGGCAATTTTCGCCCTCCGGTGGCCCTTGCCAGGCCTCGGAAAGTTATTTGTCGGAGGAACGGGATCCTCAGCAATTGTGGGGTGTGATAGTGATGCAATGTCGGTCTCGTTGCTGCTCTGGACCTGTCGTATCGACATGGCGGTGATATCCGCTAAACTGGTATGTAAAGGATATGTGTGCGCGGGAAGGGGCGACGGCGGCACGACGACGACCCGACGAGCTCTTTTCTTTTGCGCGCGTGCAGCCAGCTCGCGGTGCCAGCTTGCTCCCCGTTGAAACAAAGTAGCTGCGGAAGTGCAACATGGCGCAACAGCAGCGGGCGGCGGCGGCGCAGAGACGGCGGAGGAAGAGGCATGATAATTCTCCCCGCGGCGGGATGCGTAGGGCCATAGATTCAGCTCCCCTCGGCGCTCCACGAGTTTCTGGTTCTCATAGCATTTTGGTACCCCTGGCGCCAACCCCCAAAAACTTCTACGGCGCCGACGGCGGGGTGCCAGCTACTGCCGTAGGAGCTCCCTTGAGGGGGGCCGAAGCAGACCGACGAATCCCACGCTTGAACAGCGCCCCGTATCGAAAGTGAATGCTGATGTTCGGGGTCTGAAACTTTGTCACGATCGCTTCTAGCCTTCTCTGCATTCACCAACGGTTCAAATACTTGTTGTAATCATGTGCGTACCGCATGAGAATGCTGGAATGTGGCCTAGCCGCCAGCGCCCGCGGCATCGCGGGTCCTGCGTACCTCTGCGCCAGCTCGGCGTCGGTGAGCATGCGTTTCGTCGGCGGAGGAGGCGCGTGCATGACTTCCTCCCCACGACTCATCTGCTTCGCCATGTGCATAATCGGGCCAGCCCCTGCGTCTCGAGGCAGCAAGGGTCACGGGGTACGGCGTCATGATCTCGCGCGCGCGCGGGCCGCGGCTCCGGCTCCTCGGCGCCGACGGCGGCGTAGGCGGCGCGGCGGCTGCCCGGGCGGCGACGGCTGCCGGAGGTGTCGCCCATCAGCGGCCGCAGCCATCGGCGCAGGCAGCAGAGACGCAACATTCTGGAACGCAGGTTGTTGGTCACCGGCTGAGCAGTGGCCTCGCTGGCTACGAGCTCGGGTTCCATCGCGTCCCATGGCCCGGCATGAGTGGCTCCGCCAGCTGAGCCGGCAGCGCCCTCCATAGTGTTCATCGACAAGGGCGCCTTCCGTGGGCGCTCCGCCAGCGTGCGCCGTGCCAGCGACACTGGGCGAGTTCTTAGCTCGAAAGTCAATCTGGGCCCGAACTTCAGCAATGGCCAGGGCAACGTGCATCTCAGCATCCGTTGGAAATCCGGTATTGCTTGAACCGATATCGGGTCCTCCGTGCTGTTTGTACTCGCAGCGCTCCGACTGCAATCGCGGCGGCGTTTCTGATCATGCTTGGTAATCATTTTGTCCCGCAGCTCGGCGTTATCGCTGGTCATCTCTTCGTTCCGTTTGACCAGACTTTCGAACTTGACAATGCAGGCCTGGATCCGCCGTGAGGCGTTCAGCATTTTGGATCTGAGGTTGAACCCCCGAATCCTTCATGTATTGCTCTGCGAAGTCTTAGCTTGTGACCGCGTCTCTTATTCCTGCGTCTAGTGTGTAGGCGTCTCTCCTCTTTTGCTTGGTGCAATGTCCCAATCCGACTGACTCTTCCGAGTCGACTGGTTCGTCCGGGAAAGCCGCGCATTGTTGTCCGGCAAAGTAGCCTGCAATGCTTTCTCGAGCGATGCCTGAGATCTCAAATGACCTCGCGTCGCGTGGGTGGTCCGTGATCTTCTTGTCCCAGAAATTGCCAGCGCATCCTGTGATTTGTTGATGGAAGACTGCATCGTCGTTATTCTCTCCGTCCTTCGTATATTCCATCATGTACTGACGTGTGACATTCTTTGCAGGGTGCACAGATGCTTCAACGGCGATCGCCGCAGTAGGGTCAGTAGATAAGTCCACTGGATCTTGAAATCGGAAAGAGCGCGTTCTGTGGTCGCTTGGAGGAGGGGGGGTTTGGAACCCGACACCCCCCCCCCGTGATGGGGGGGGTATCGAGCCCCCCCCCTCCCGTGACGGAAGGGGGGGGTTTCGACCCCCCCCATCCCCACCTGCTTCCCCACTCCTCGGGCCGGCGCTTGCGTCGGCGGCGGGGGCGACGAATTCCATTTCTGGGCTGGCGCCGGCCGGCGCCTGCGGCGGCGGGCGGCGGTGGCGTGGAGCGTCGACGAGGACGACGGTGGTCGTGGCGGTGGTGGTGGGTTGTGGTCGTGGTGGCGGTGGCGGTGGTGATGGTTGTGGTGGTGGTGGTGGTGGTGGTGGTGCGGTGGTTTGTTGTGGTGGTGGTGGTGGTGATGGTTGTGGCGGTGGGTGGTGGTGGTGGTGGTTTGGTGGTGGTGTGGTGGTGGTGCGGTGTGGGTGGTGGTGGTGGTGGTGGTAGAGGTGGTAGTGGTGGTGGATTGTGGTGGTGGCGATGGTTTGGAGGTGGTGCGGGTGGCGGTGGTGGCGGTGGTGTGGTGGCGTGGTGGCTGTTTGTGGTGGGTTGTGCTGCTGGTAGTGGTGGTGGTGGTGGCGGTGGTGGTGGTGGTGGTGTGGTAGATTCTGGTGGTGGTGGTAGTGGTGGTGGGTTTTGTGGTGGTAGTGGTGATGGTGAGTTGTGGTGGTGGTGGTGGTGGTGGTGGTGGTGTGGTGGTGATGGTGTGGTGATGGTTTGTGGTGGTGGTGGTGGGTTGTGGTGGTGGCAATTGTTTGTGGACGTTTGTTGTGGTGGTGGTGGTGGTGGTGTGTGGTTTGTGGTGGTGGCGGTGGGTTGTGCTGCTGGTAGTGGTTGTGGCGGATGGTGGTGTGGTAGATTGCTGTGGTGGTGGTAGTGGTGGTGGGATATTGTCGTGGTGGTGGTGGTGGTGATGGTGAGTTGTGTGGTGGGTTGTGGTGGTGGCTGTGGTGGTGGTGGTGGTGGTTGTGTGGTGCTGTTGGTGGTGGTGGTGGTGGTGGTGGCTTGAGGCGGTGGTGGTGGTGGTAGTGGTGGCGGTGGTGGTAGTGGTGGTAATCGTCGCTGCGCCCCCGCCGTCGCCGGCGCCTGCGCTGGCGCTGCTGGCCGCCGCCAGCGCCGGCACTGGCGCGAAGCCCCCCCCCCCCGCGCCAGGGGGGGGGGGTTGAAACCCCTCCCGCCGCCCCCCATCCCCCTGGGCTGCTTCTGGTCATCGTCGCTGCGTCCCCGCCGTGGGCGCTGCTGGCGGCCGCCAGCGCCGGCGCCGGCGCCGCGGGGGGGGCGGGGTTCGGGGGAGGGGGGGGGTGCGGGGGGAATGTTGGGGGGGGCCACCACCCGGTTTGAAACGCGCCGCCGAATGTTCCCAACGCGTGCGCCCGTGAAACGCGTTCTCTCTGAAATCGAGTCTCAAAGCATTTTCCTCCTTTGAGATCATCCCCCGCTGTTTTGTCTTTTGTGAATTTCGGCTCTGTGCGTGCAAGATTGAACGTGAACTGATCGTCTTTGTCATCTCCGTCGTCTTGTGGTTTGGTAAGCTGGACGGCCGCGGGATGTCGGGCGTCATGCAGATCTGGACTCATTGGAATGCCTGCGTCATGAAAGGTTGCTCGGTCGGGCCCCAGGCTCGTCAAGACATCTTTTCGCTTTGCAGCCGATTTCGATGTGCGATGAAGACGGTCCCAGAACTCCTTCATGGTCATTGCCGGGTAACCCGTTAGTGAGCAAGTGCAGGCGATGGCTGAGCCTCGCCCGCGTTGTCTGTGGAGTCCGCTGATGAAGGTTCCCACCAGCCAGGTTGCAGTGGGGGGGCCAGTCCCATCTGCTGTCGAGCCACCCACCCAGATCTCCCATCTGCCCGCGGAGAGATCTTGGTCATCTTCGACTCCTACCCAGGCGAATGCAGCCAGTGGCGGGCACGACGTCGGCCTGGCAGTGTGGTCGATGCGTTGCCAGAGAATTGGCCACCAATCCGCGGCCTACGTACCACCTCCCCTCCATATGGTACATGCAAAAAACCTCCGTTAAGGGATGTGAGGTGACGAAAGTATGGCTCGAGGCGCGTCGGCGGTTTGTCATTCGCTTTCTCGGCCCTCCGCGAAGGAACAGACCCGGGCTCTTTGGGGAGATGGGTAAGGCCTGATTTCAATTTCATGAGCCGCATCTCCGCCTTCTCACCATTGCCTCTTGTGTTTGTCGTGTTCCCGCGCAGAAAAATGGCAGCCGTCAAACAGTTCCCCGTGCAATGTGCGCCTTGTCGTGACTGTCAATTTTCTCCATTCCTGGCTGGACATGCCGCGTGAGCCCCTCGCCTCAGGAGACAGAGATCGATTCTTTCAATCGGCTGTGGTTCATGGCGCGCGCGTGCATGTCGGAGCCTCGCTGCAATTCTCTGACAATGTGGGCAATAACCCAACCCTGAACGAAAACCGTGTAAATTTGCGGGAAAATAACGCCCGTCGTCAGCCCACGGGCGATTGTGAAGCTCGCGCTCTGCCGCTTCGTCGGCGCTATCGCCGCCGATCGGGCGGAACTGTTCGTCGGATGGACATGTCAACCCATGTGGGTCCCTGGCTAGAAATCAACGCCCCGTCAGGCGCCACCCGGAATTTGTTCGCCACGTGCACCTCATCGTGGGGGACCAAGAAACCATGGTGCTCTCCCACAATGTTTGGTGCTCCGGGTGTACGATCCAAAATTTGCCCACTATTTCTGGGTCCAATTGCCCTAGCAATGACGTTTTGCCAGCTCAGAGTGTGCAGCTGCTGAAGGTGGGCCGTCACCGACGGATTGCCCCCGCGAGCTTAGCCAGTGGGGGATCGCGCCGTTCTCGACCTCTGACGAAGCATATTGCATCGCGGGGAGCAGCCGTGACACATTGTAACCAGGGCTTGCAAACAATCCCGCGTCCTTCTCAGGGTAACGCATATCTCCCACTTGCGATTGGAGTGCAGCGTTCTCTGACGTGATGTGCAGTAACGGGCCGTGATAGGAGGACATGCTGATATAGTCATATGGCTCAAACGTCCGATCTAGTCTACAATGCGAATGGGATGACCCTGGGTGGCCCGTATCAACGCCAGGATCGGGGGATATCCGAACGTTCTCCGTAATCCGTCGTTGGACAAATGCTTGCTCTCACGCACGTGTGCAGATGACTCTCGAATGGTGTGGCCAAGCAAGTGATGATCACTCGCCGGGGCGCCCGAATCCTAAACGCAGTTTGGTGGTGGCATGAATAATCCGTGCATCGCCGGAGCCGCGATCTGGCGATCGAGCTCGTAGTTGTACATTTTACACGTGACGTCGCTTAGTGAACGTTCCCCCCGCGAGTTCCTGGCGCGGTGCGAAGTGTGTCTGAGAGATGTATTATCAACTTTC